GATTTGGTTTCATATTTTAGAAAGAAACTTGAAAGCCTCTAGAAGACAATGTTTTGGTTGAATTATATGAAGCTGAACTTCAAAAAGTCTATATATAGTAACTAACAGTAACTAACAATATCACTAAAAGTCGATTATAACACATATGCACTAAAAAGACCGTAGCGAAAACATATATAAGTGAATTATATAATATAGAACGGGAAAAAATTGATGTGTGGAAGAATGTGAAAAACAAAATGGATATTTGAACGGAATGGGTTAAACTTATGAGCAGATCAGGTGTGAGTGCGGATCATAGAACATGAGTTATTACGATGGACGAATTGTGGTAGGATTTACGTGAGGCAGTATGTTAATAATTAAATATTTTATTACGTTGGTTTAATTATTTTTGCTTTGAAAAAAGTAAAAAAAATAACTTTTAATTAATAATTTTTACCTATTATTTTCAGGGAAATAGAATGATTAAAGCTTGTCATCGTAACCTGCCAAAATATTGGGATGCACTGCAATGTATGTATGGATGGCATGATGTATCAACTGAACTTATATGACGCGGATGGGGCACGTAGAGAACTACATGAGGATTATACAGGAGCTGATGACAGTTCAATTTATGGTTGGAGTGGTAGGGATGATGATTATAATTACGAGACACCTACAAATGAATACATACCTCAAACCCAAGGAAAAAATACCCATTTACCAGATACATCATTTATTGATCCTGAAGAAAGATATGGAGATGTCCCAAATGCAGCAGCAGACGAAACAGAAAGAGGTGTCCCAGATGCAGCAGCAGACGAAACAGAAGGAGATATCCCAGCAGAAATGACGCAACAAATCCATGGCCGTTCGGGCAGACAGACTATATGTGCAACTTCGTATAGTATTGGATGAGGAGGAAGTAGTCCAAGGAGAAGCAATTCACGAGCACATTATATGAGTAGTAGAAGTCAAAAGTAATCGCCGGAGACGTGAATTTGAAGGCTCGGTTACCAAGGCATTTCAAGAAATGGCAAATGCACGATGCGCAACTTTATCAGCTTTGCGAGCTGATGGGGCGGTACCTAGGGTTGCCACTGTGCACACAAAAATTGACTATTGGAGAGTGTGACCACCTTCTGGTACTGATACCGAAAAAAATAGATGGTCTCATCGTCACTATAGCTTGACCGGTTGATATACTCTTCTTACCTCTGTTATCTTGGGAATCATTTGCTTTTGGAGTTTAGCATTCATTCTACTTAAACAGATTATAAAACGGGTTAGTACGCTCTCTATTGCATTTTTTTGGCATGGAACATCAAACTCGGCAAAAGAAACAAAGCTGAAGTGGTCGGATATATCATTACCTAAGCAACAAGGGGGATTAGGCTTGAGAAACCTTACTAGCTGGAGTACTACTTGCGAACTAAAGCTTATATGGATGTTGTATTTTAGAGCATGCTTTATTTGGGTGGCTTGGATAAGGAAGAAGTATCTTTCTCATTCTCATCGTAAGGGTGGATGTTACTGCCAGCAAGGTCTAAGAAAGAAGTTCAATTACAAGGTTTCATCACCACGATTCATGTAACAACAATGAGTGATAAGCCTCTGTGGTTAATTCATGATGTGGTTGAAAAGTATTTTTCATCAAGAAAAACATGCGTTGCTATAAGAGAGCCAAAGGAAACAGTTTCATGGTACATGTTAGTGTGGTATAAGGCAAGACTACCGAAACACGTTTTCACAGTTTGGCTATTTGTTCTGAATCGCAACGCAACTTTGGACCGTCTTCATAGGTGGGGATGCGATGTAAAATGAATCAAGGAACCACTTATACTTTGAGTGCAACTTCTCCCAACAAGTATGAAAGGATACAGTTCAAAAGTTGCTAACTATTACCCACCTACTTCTTGGGATGCGGTAATGCATTGGCTGCCAATTGCGACTACAAATAGTGAATTATGTCTTGCATAGTTACAAGGTTGGCACGCTTGTGTTTATGAGATTTGGATGGAATGCTGATATGTCCCATATTTTACCTATTTTACTACGTATTTCTATATATTTTCTATGCATTTATCTACGGTATTACGGCTTTAGAGGTAGTTTTCTTTTTATTTGTAGTTTTAGAGTCTTAATAGGGAAATCACTCAAAAAGGACCAAAAGAGGTGTAAATCAATCTACAAAAACTTTCACAAGTCAAATACACCTCCAAGACAAAGATTCCACAAGATATCACTTTCTACCAAGTCGGACAGAACTGAAGCATCAGATGTTTAGCTACCTACTAAGGCTCATATCAACTTGGAATTGGATTAAACTTGGTGGGAATATAGATCATTGAGTGAAATTCACAACGGAATTTGAATCATGTCATTGGGATCTATGAGCAAGAAGATGCACTTGAATCACTGAAGACACGTCAAACTGCCTCATAACTGAAGTAAGTCCAGTATTGAGCCAAACACCAGGCCACGCCGTGGATCGATGTTCTAGCCCGATATCAACACACAAGATAGGTCGTTTAACTCCCAACACCGGTCACGACTTATGGCCGATGCTCGTGACCGATGGTTTTGGTACGTTAGACCAAATTGACTCTTTTGCCCTAAACTAAACCTTAGAAAACCCTAGACCTATATATACTTATTTTTAGCCTCGTTTTCGGAGTGTACCAAAATATTTAGGTTAGTTTTATCATAAGTAGCAGCCACCACGAGTTCTCTTGGTGTTCTTCATTACATTTGGATTTTAGAGCAATCCGGTGGATAATCTCGCTTCGTACCTCGTTATAGAGAAGAATCATCTTACCTTTACTCTTTAATTCAAGTTTATCTATTATGAATTCATCATCTATCTCTTGTTTTTTCGTGCACCATGTTTGAGTAGTTTTAATTGTTATGTTGTTGGAAATCAAAGAGTTCATGAATTGTTAACTTCTATCAAATGAATTAGGGATAATCTAATAAGTTTTTCATCTTTACTTGCTCGTAATGCTGTATGCTTTTCGGATCAACTAGCTGATCTTGGGTTAATATACTCTCAAAAAGCTTGTTATATTTCCTGACCTAGTATTTGATGAACTAGGCGTCTTAACAATTCGAAAGGTTAGTTAAGGAGTTTAGTGAACAATTCAATCTTGAGCTTGTTAATTCGTATTTTTTTCTCGTAATAACCTGCGATAGTTGAGTCTATTAGGATGCTAAAACATAGTGATCGGAGCCTCGACAGTGGGAAGATTATATATTCATGATTTAAGTTCTAAAACACATCTCTCTATAAAAGGTCTCTGGAATTCGATATGTTGTTTGATGATTTATGAATCTATGCGATTAACCTATTTGCCTAATGTTTGTTTACTTTGAATTATAAATCCCTTTTATTTAGTTATTTTCGTGCTTTATCTTTTTAAAAACCCAAAACAATATATCCTTTGTTTTAACTTGATTTGATTCCTATAAACTTGTAGTACAAGTACGAGGTTTCTGTGAATTCGATCCCTTCTATACTATCGTGATTGATGTGCACATGCAGTTAGTTTAATTGGGTTTAAAACTCGACACATCAAATGAATCGGAGATATCACAATGGACTATCACTGCCTTCTTCCAAGATCTTCCATAAGCTACTTTCAATGGTAAAGAACAAGGCTCAGAGCTTCTCACTACAGCACCCAGACTATTGTTCTATTCAACCATGTTGGGACGGTCCTACAACTTTCCCTTTTCAAACCATATGATTTGAGCATTTCTCTACCACCAGTTTCTGATTTGGTGGTGAAATCGT